ACTCCACTTTCGTTGTCGCCAATTATTCCTGTGGAAAGTACAAACGCTCTCTTGTGTGGACACATATTTTGTGTGGCATACCAATTTTTTCGTTCGTTGGTATTAAAAATTGCGATTTGCGTATCTCCGTATTTAATAACTTGACCGCCGTCCTCAGGAAACGATTCCACCGGCGCAACCTTAACCCATGATTTTTGTTCTAGGTCCGTGATCGCTGGTTCTTGAGGTACTGGTGGAAACTCTTTAGGCCAATCGGCAGGACGGTGTTGGCTGCGTTCCTCTATGTCTTCAATTTCGAGTTGCGTCTCTGGCGTATTAAGGAACTGCTTAAATTGATCGCGTCGAGCAGGGTCCTTGACAACTTCTGCCCATTCGTCATGATACGTGTTAATTAGCCGTGACATATCTTCCTCTAAATCTTTACATATTCCAAGCTTGTCGTCAATAACAACTGAGCGAAGATACTATTGATTGCAATGCAAAAAATTGTTTGTTACCGACACTGAATTTTTTCTTTAAAGATAATTTTGATAATAACCAATTCGTAAGAATTTGACCACTTACATCGATTCCACCTTCCAATTTCTCGAGCCATCTTGCTGTACGCGTTAATCTGTCCGCAGTATGAATATAATACATTAAAAATCGGTCCAGATATTTGATACACAACTCTTCGGGAACATCTTTTGCTAATAAGACTGCATGTTTGGGTTTCGACCCCCCATTCCCACAGACGTAAATGTTATAGCCTTTGTCAGTGGCGATTAGTCCGAAATCCTTTCCTTGCGCTTCAGCGCATTCCCTAATGCACCCCGACACGCCACCTTTAAGTTTATGCGGTGATCTGATACCCCGATAGCGGTTCTCAAGTTGAATAGCAAATCCCACCGAATCACCAATTCCGTATCGACACCAAGTGGAACCCACACAAGACTTCACTGTCCTCAACGCTTTACCGTAAGCGTGACCCGACTCAAATCCAGCTTGAATAAGTTCTTCCCAGATGTCGGGGAGGTCGTATTTTTTTGCTCCAAAAAGGTCAACTCTTTGACCGCCCGTGATCTTGGTATACATTCCATATTTCTTGGCCACTTGACCTAGCACAATCAATTTTTCCGGTGTTATCTCACCACCTGGTACACGAGGCACGACGGAGTATGAACCACCGCGCTGAATGTTTGCTAGGTAACGGTCATTTGTATCTTGGAGGTTGGCATGATTGAGAATAGGTTCATTCCATAAACTGGCTAGAATTGAGGCTACCGCTGGTTTGCAGACCTCACATCCGTTTGATCCTTTTTTGCCAACAGTATTGACAATGTCTTTGAAGTTTGTCAATTTTTTGATTTTGATGACTTGGAAGAGTTCGACACGAGTCATTTCAAAATGCGGACATAAACTTTGAGTCACCTTTTGTCCCATGGATTTCAACTCGGCCTGCATAATCTCTGTCACCAGCGGAATGCATCCACCACAACCTGTGCCAGCCTTCGTACAAGATTTGACCTCACCAATAGAACGACAATTTTTACTTCTGACGGCATTTCGCACCTGACCTTTCAACACATTATTGCAGGAACTTTTTAAACAAAAGAAGCAAATGTTTCGTTAAAACGTTTATCAAAGGCGAGTGTGCAATAACAATGGTGAACGGTAGAAAATTCGTACCAGATTTGAGCTTCGTCAGGTAGGTCATCCGCTCCAGGTGCTTGACCAGATTTCACACCAAGGATAAGTTCTCCAGGAGCCATTGTCAAAGGTTTCTTTGACTTGCAAAGAGCATGAAGCTTGGTATAATCATCTGTGTCACCGACCATAATTCCACCTAGAAGGTGTTTTCCATCCATAGAGAATATATACTTCTTGTAGATCGAACCGAACGGATCCCTGTACACCAAAGGCATCGATACATCTTCGCTGCAAAAGTAGTCACCAAAGCTCGCGACGTGAACCCCAAGAAGTTTGAGTTTACAAGACAAATCTCCCCCCATGAACTTTCTGTCTGAACTCTTCAAAGCCAAATTCGATGCTAAAACATCGGCCATATCGTAACCGGGAGCGACAAGACCGTAAACGACTCCGGCATGTAACGCGACCTCACCAATTGCATAAATATTGGGGTCATTTGTTTGCAGCTTGTCATCCACGATAATTCCACCTTTTGGATGAGTTGTTATTCCGGAAGCTTTTGCAATATCGTCACGTGGCCTAATTCCCGCAGCAACGACTACCATGTCCAAATCCATTGTGGAACCATCATTGAACAGTATTCCTTTCGTCTTTCCGTTCTCCCCGATTAATATTTCTTTTGGTGGTAAATTCAACGAATTTTTAATTCCTAATTTACTAATCTCTTTGAGTAGAATCTCTCCACCCGGTAGATCCAATTGTCTTGGCATTAATAAAGGATTTCGTTCTATGATGGTTACTTCCAGGTTTAAGTCGTGTAACGCTTTTGCAGCTTCAAGACCGAGTAATCCACCGCCGATCACGGCCGAATGTTTAGCGGTTTTACCATACTCGATGATATTATCCAAATCATCTAAAGTACGATACACGAATACACCAGGCTTATCGACGTTTGGTAACGGGGGTAACCACGCGTAAGAGCCGGTGGCGATAACGCAAATGTCGTATGAAATAGCCAAACCTTTGGAGGAGTGAACAACTTTTTTGGCTCGATCAATGTGGGTGGCCTTATCACCCATGTGAATCGTTATACCTTGATCTTTATACCATGATGGGGGTTGCATGAGCAACCTCTCTTCTGAACGATGTGTGAAATATTGAGTCAATCCGACTCTGTTATAGGCCACTATATATGAAAGAAGAATACGAGCGCAAAGATTAGTGAAATTGTAAATCGACCGATATTATTTATAGTGAATAATATACTCGCGTTCGCACCTCTAGTTTCTTCACAAAAAGTTTCAATTCTGAATTTTCTTGTTATGTCGTAATTGAGTAATTTTTCTATAAAATATAATCCCACCATTCCAAGACCAACAACCACTACAGTGGACTCACATTCTTGGTCTTGAATTGTCGAATCGTTTGGCGGCATATTTAATATTTTTAAAAAAATTTTTTATGGACAGATCAAGATGTGAGAAGGGAATTGAATACTTATTTAAACAAAAATTTGTGGAAGGATTACTGATTTTGTGTGGAATTATTAGATCATTATCTATCGTGGTTATCATGCATACATAATCAATGTCCACACGTCATTTTCACGATCCTTATTGATAATTCTATTTACAAATATTAATCAAGATCGACGTGTATCACGAAAAAGAAAACTCGCTTGTGCTTGCAGTGAAAAAAAAAAAACTCGTTTACAAAATTATATCTTTGCTATCAATAACTTATCGTTGAGATGTATTGTGTTATATAATGGTAATATGACCCCATCGACGTTCTTGTTACATAATTTTGAGAATTGCATTTTATATTCGATAGAAATTTAACGCGGCGGTCTATTCACTGCAAGAACATTTATCTCATTTACCAACTACCATTCATCGAATGTCTAACGGTAAGTTGGACGCGATTCGGAAAATTAATTTCTTATCTTTCTTAATATTAGATTTCCTTTTATAG